GTCAATAGAAAATTTGATCTGTCATTTGGTCAGTATAAGCTCTGATGCCCTCTAGTGACAGAAGATTTGTTTTGCACAGGCAGTGTCTCCCGTCTAGGCAATCTTCCTTTCTTTAGGTTTGAAAACAGAACAGCTTATATTAAGCAAGTACTTTTGGTAACAAAAGATTTTTTACACTGACCAGAAGCTTTAATGACACCCTAAGAACCTTAGAGGTTTACGAGTTTAGCTTACACAAAAGCTGGGTTAGGCAGTGTGGGGAGCCCAAGTCTCAATCTTAAAGATAAGTCATCCAGGAGTCACGTAGAGCCCCAGGCTCCACCTCTCCATGTGACTTCCTCTCAGTGTGAGCACCCTGCTTCTCTGTCAAACCACACGCTCTGTCAAATCACCAACTTTTTTTTCCCACAGCCAACTGTAGCAATAACACACCTCACATATATTTTTATCTCATTTGAAATCCAGTGACAAAGAGTTGCGTCTCAGTTGCTTCCAGCAAAACATCCCCAGGTTTACTCCAACTGAGTAGGAGACACTGTTTTCCTTGGCCAAGTAGAGTCTCTGGATTAATGCTTTATTAAAGAGATTGGCCACTGGTGAGAAAGTGAGGAATCCCACCAGCAGGCTGCCTTTGCACTACAACGTTTTCATGGGCCTCCATCCGGCTGACATACACTGTAGCTCCTGGACACACTAGACTCTGCAAACATGAACAAATCCCTGAATATCTATCATTTCTTTATCACCTCTCCTTCCACCCACCCACTTATCCCTCCCTCCCTCCCTCCCTCCCTCCAACCTCACATCTACTGATTCTGTTTCTCATCTCCTAGAAAGTACCGACTAAAAGAACCACTTATATCAGATAGTCAAGGAGAGAGGAGATGAGCAGTTTTTCCAGAAACACCTTGAAAGTCCCGTTACTAGAAAGGAGAAGAAAAGATATAGGGTTAAAAAATAAAGTCATGGATGCCCACTACAGTTGCAAACTATTAAATCAACTTATTGCTATTTCGTCAAAGCAGTTTGGCTGACAGCAATGTTTTAAAACATTAGCTCTGTCGAAGAAAGAACAGAAATATTGTTGGCAGTGAAAAGATGAAGTGTTTTTATCTGGTAAGTTTTTATGCAGTCAGATGTGCATGTGAATGATACACAGTATGGTCAGAAGCAGGTTACCTGTTTACTATAGAAATAAACCTTAACTTGCGTGGTGTAGTGAAAGTAAGACGGTATGACCATCATAAAAACTCTCTTCACATCCGGTGCAGTGCCTGAAGCTGTATTAAAGAACACACATTCATCCCTGCCAAGCGTTAAGAAAGAATGAAACTAATGTGAAAGTTGCTGACTCACAGTTTATGCTCAAGGGATGTTGATTTTTACCAAGTGCCGCCTTGCCAAGGGTGCTCATGCTCCCCACCCTCACCCCCGTTCTCCCCCACTTCTTCTCCCCTCCCCTTCTCTTTTACTTCTTTTCCTTTTTGCATGGAATATTTTATTTCAAATGCTCTTTTCTTCCTTTCAGTTTCATAATAGGTATAGGAGAGCACAGCCTGAGGCTTCTTCATGGCGCTGATAATCTATAGGAAGATGATGCAAAATGGGGGTGGGAGGAGAGGAGAGAGACTTGAGGCGTGGGGGTGGGTGTAAGTGCAGTAACACCTGCCAAGTAGAACGAAGGAAGCCAGGAACCCAGACAGGAAGGAGAAGGAGGTTGACAACCCAGATTCAGAGGACAAAAAAAAAAAAAAAAAAAAAGCCTTCAGAAGAAAATGCTGCAGGATGATGTCTCTCTCTCTCTCCCCACCTCTGAGTGTGGGGTGTGTGTGTATTTTGCAGATAGCAGATATCCTGACCAGTAGATGAATTCCTTCCTGACAGGGACCTCTTGTTGCCCTTGAGCAAACTTACCTTCTGTAAGCAAGCTTCTTAACCTACGTGTCTCAACCACAGAGAATACCCTGCATATCAGATACTCACCTTACAGTTCGTAACAGCAGCAAAAGTACAGTTCTGAGGTAGCAATGAGATAAATAAATAGTTAGAGGGTCACGGCATTAGGAAGGTTGAGAACCACTGTTCTAGAACAGTCACATAACACTGAAATGTTATCCACTTTTCTAAAACAATAGTTACTTTGAGCTCTGTTAACTAACCAGAGCAGTAAAGAAGTACAAGAATTATTTTTTTTTTCAAAGAAAATTGGCCAGGAAATAATCAGTGACAAAAGGAGGAAGTAATAGTAACATTTAATACAGCTGTGTGAGGTTTTTTTTTTTCTTTTTATATCCTGATTATGGTCTCCCTCCCTCTACTCCCAATTCCTCTCTGTCTCCCCTCCCATTCAGATAGTCCCTTTCTGTTTCATTAGAAAACAAGCCAACTTCCAAGGGATTAAAGAAAAGAATATTAAAACAAAAACTAACGTACTGAAATTGGACAAAACGAACAAACAAACAGACAGAAGGAAAAGAGCCCAAGAGAAGGCACGGGAAACAGCGACAGACTCATTTTCACACTCGGGAATTCTGTGGAAACACTAAACTAGAAATCGTAAGTATATATGCGAAGGACCTGGTGCAGACCTGTGCATACACTGCCTCAGCCTCTCTGAGTTCTTATGTGCAGCAGTCACGCTGACCCATATCGCCTTGTTTTGTTGGTGTTGTCCATCTCCTCTGGCTCTTACACTCTTCTTGCCTCTTCCCCTTCCGCTGGGTTCCCTGAACCCTAAGAGGAGCAATTAGATGGAGATACCCCATTTAGGGCTGAGTGTTCCAAGATCTCTCACTTTCTGCATAGCATCTGGCTGTGGGTTTCCTTATTAGGAGTCACTTTATTGCAATGTGTCTCTCCGTGTGTGTGATTAGTTTATTCTTCCTTCCTTCCTTCCTTCCTTCCTTCCTTCCTTCCTTCCTTCCTTCCTTCCTTCCTTCCTTCCTTCCTTTCTTTCTTTCTTTCTTTCTTTCTTTCTTTCTTTCTTTCTTTCTTTCT